GTGTTCGAAGGAACAAATCAGGTCGCAGGTGCCGAGCCAAGTCCCAAACACAGTTTCGAGTTAGGGTTCCAGTTTGCAGTTCCCACATAAGGCCATTTCCCTGCTGTGCATTTTCCTCCTCTCCTGCCTCTCCCGTCCCCCTCCCTCCTTCCATCTATTGGTCTCAATCCCAGCTGCAAAGATACCATCTATCCTTCACTTTGCTCTTTGTTTACATTGTGTCTCATATAAGAAAAGCCATCCAATATTTACACTCAGGATTTATTGCACTTGACATTATGGTCTCAAGGTGCAACCATTTTCCTACAAATGCCTCACGTTAGTCTTTCTTTAGGCAGAGTAGTACTCCATTGTACGTAAACAGCACATTTCCATCATCCATGCTCACGCTGATGGACGTGTAGCTGCTTCCAGTATTTAGCTATTACGAGTCGCGCTGCTGTAAACATGGGTGTGCATGGACCACTGTACTGTGATGTCGTTAACTCTTTTCGGGGAGATACTAGAAGGGGAGTAGCTGGGTCAAATGCAGATTCCAGTTTTAGTTTCGAGGCGTCCCCACACTGATTTCCATAGTGCTTGTCCTGGTTTACCTTCCCTCCAACCATGAAGCCAGGTCCCCTTTCCCCTGCAGCCCCTCCAGCACGTGCTACTCTCTGATGTCTTGATGCCGGCCCTATTTCCTGGAGGAAGATGGACTCTCAGTGCTGTTTTCCTTTGCCATCTCTAATGGCCGGAGATGCTGAGCATCTTCTCACGTGCTTATTGGTTACATGCTCTCCACACGTGAAGAACAAGTGAAGAAGTGGAAGAGAGATGGGATTCGGGCCCAGCAATCCCTTTGCAAGGGCAGTGGCTTCCACGGGCCCCTCTGGGTTTCCAGCTGCACAGCTGCACACCACACCCAGCAGCCGGCTCCCCTCTGGTCCTGTTGTTAAGTCTGCCCAGCCTCCCTGCCTGTGGCCAGGGATTCTGTCCGTTGCTACTCCAGGCGATCACGCTCAGGTAAGTGCCCGGCTGCCAGTTCCGCCAGTGCTTCCAGGTGTCCATGGTCTCCTCACTGTGGACCTCTGTGATCAAGCAGTTTCCTGGGCATCCACTCTGATTCTTGGCTGCATCTACTGCAGGGTTCTGCTCCATGCTTACCATTAGGCCCACAGAGGACGCCTTACAGCTACCAGGAGCCAGGCCATGCTGGCTAGAAACACTTTCCAGGCTCGCCACGCCGGACACATGCAGAGCAGGCTTCAGGGCAGAGGCTGTATCCACCTCGGCCAGGCAGATCGTCCCTAAGGCCCAGGTGACCTGAGGTGGCCAGAAGGAGGCCACTAAGGCCCGTGCCCCTCTCAGCAAATGGACTTGCAGGCTGCAGCACCTCCAGGCCAGCCCCACGGAATAGGTGCCGTGCTCTGGAGGGAGCACAGCCAGGAAAAGCACCTGGCCGCAAACAACAGGCACTGCCGGGTGAAGGGGGAGAGGCTCAGAGGGAAGCCAGGAGCCCAGCACCCGCCCTGAACCAGATGGCCTCGTCAGCTGCTTCGGGTCAGGCCTGCTGCGGGCCATCGCCATGGCTCTCCCAGCTTTTACATGTCCACCATCCCCAGACACTCTGCCAGACCCCAATCTGTTGCTATGAAGCCGTTATTTTAGCCGAGATTAACATTCAAAGCAGCAGACTGGGTGAAGCAGGGGTGGGCCTCGTGCAGTCAGCTGAGGGCTCTGAGAAGGAAAGACCAAGGCGCCCCGGAAAGAGGGAATTCTGCCCCCAGATGGCCACAGCTCATCCTGGTGTGTCCGTCTGCCTGCTGCTGCTACAGCCAAACCCCGGAACCTGCTTCCTTACGGGGAAAGGGGCTTACGTGGGCTCAGTCTGCAGGGTGAACCCCAGGGTGAAGTGCTGCCCTGACAGCCTCATGCTGCCACAAGAGAAGGGCAAGTGGGGTGAGAGCAGGTGCACCCCAGGGGGGACATGCTGCCCCCGCAGCCTGGGCGTGCGTTCCTCTCCGTGCCACAGCACCCAGCACCACAGGGGATAAAGCTTCCAGATGGGCTTGGTGGACACAAGCCAGGCACACCTGTGGCTCCCAGCAGCAGCCCAGCCTGCAGGCTCTGGGCCCGCTCCGCCATGCAGTCAACCGTGTGTGTCTCCCTGTGCACAAATGCACGCGCGCACACAGCCACTGGCTCCGCTGCTCAGGAGCGCTGCCCAGCCTGCGGTGGGGCTGGGTTGAGACCCATCTCACCCTGGGGATGCATCCGTGCGGCAGAAGGAACGGCCGAGCACAGAGGAAGGCAGTCTCACCCGAAGTCCGGCGTGAGGCCCAATGGCAGCCAAGGCTGAAGCACCCTGGGGGCTCTGACCTGTGTCCCACGGGAGGGATGGGAACCTGGTGTCCTGCTCCCCAGACGCCCCATGCAGCGTTCCATTCCGTTCTGTCCCACGAACTCTTCCCATACGGTGGGAGCAACTGAGGCAGGTCCCGTCCTCCGCGTCAGGCAGCCCCTGACCACGGGGCCATGATGGGCTTGTCAGAGAGGTGGCCTGGCTTCCACCTGCCTCGGCTTCTTCGGGACACGGTCCTTGGCCACCAAGACTCACCATGAAGAAGCCTGGCTCCAGGACCCTGCTGAGCGGAGACCCAGGGACAGACCAGGGCAATGGAGCTGCCCAGGGCTCCAGCCCCGTCAGCCTGCGTGGCAACTCCCCTGGCTCAAGCGAATCCACTGCCTCCCTGAAGCCAGGCCTGGGCCTTCCAGACAGCTGTCCCTGCTGGGACTGCACACTGGGACAGGCGGGCACCGTGGCTGAGCTCGGTGGCTTCCTTTTCAGTTGTGACCTGTTCCTACAGGAACCCAGCTGCAGGCAAAAGGCAGCCTCTGAGACTTTTAATTCTGTTCTAAAAGTTCCTCACTCCTTAGTATTTGCAAACATGTGCTGGGCACCAGCAGTATATTTTCAGCATAATCACAGTAATTCCAAGAAGAACGAGAAAATCGATGTCACTGCGGAGCCTTGGGGCAGGACAGGACCTGCACACTGGGCCGGTTCCATGACAGCAGGGCCCACCCGTCCCAGTCAGAGGAGGCCCAGAGACACAGCCCGAGTGGTTCCAGACTTGCAGCGAGCCATCCTCACTGAGCCGTCCTGGCCATCAGTGTTCGGGAAACCCTGACCTGGGATCCCCGACCAAGGCACCCACCACAGGGAGGGCTCTGTTTCAGAACCCAGCGAAGACCTGGAGAGACACAAACACAGACCGAAGGAGACAGAAACCCTTTGGTTTCCGGATGTCACTGTCAGAACTTGTACTGAACACGGGAAGCTGGCTCCAACCTGGAGTGACGTGCAGGGTTGACGGTGGATCCCAAACCACAGGTCCAGGTCCCGGCCCCTCCCAGGGCAAAGTGCCCCGAGGGTCACCTCCGGGCCACGCAGGAGGGAGAACGCCAAGCACCGCCATGCTGCCAGAAGGGCTTCGCTGTGGTCTCAGGTCTGAACCTCTGCCTGTTTCCCACTGAGCCCAAGATTGCCTAAAACATGTAAGCAGAATCTTGTTTTCTTCTGAGCTTTCTGATTTCTCGATGGCCAGGTCCCCACACCTGCCCTGAAGCTGCAAGGGCTTCTTATCCCGTTGGGCCTGGTGTGCACGCCCAGGCCCGGGGCTGGGGGTGCTGGGCAGGCTCCCTCCGGGTGGGTGTCTGGGGCGATGACCCTAATAACATAAGTGCTGGCCCGGCTGGGAGCTCGGATCAGAAGCTGAGTACCCGCCGCCGGTGGGGAGACAGAGCGCGCCAGGCAGGGGACCTGGGTCAGGGTGCCCGTGGCGCTGGGCTCAGTCTCGGTTCCCTAGCTGGGCACGGGGGCTGGGTTCCCTCCGGAGGGCAGGTTCCGGGCGGGACCCCCACGAGGAGGCCCAGGAGGGAGGCGGCGTCTGGCGGCCGGGCTGGCCGCTCCTCCTTGGCATGCGGCATGCGGCGGGCTCCTCGCCCCGCGCCGAGATGGCGGCTCCGGCCCTGGCCCAGCGCGCGGGGCGGAGCGGGGTGCGGCGACCACTCGGCCGCCGTGCAGGGCCGACCATGCCGCTCCCGGACCCCGCGGGCTCAGCCCCGCTCCACGGCCGCAACCTTGGGCGCCCGCACTTCCCGGGCCCTGAGGAGTGCCCGCCGCCCGCCGCCCGCCGCCCGCCGCCCGCCGCCCGCCGCCCGCCGCGCTCCCTCCACGCGCGCCCAGCCGGACGCGGTCCGCGAGTGCGCACGCGCTCCCTCCGCACCTGTGCGGGCGCCGTGTCCGCGTCCGCGTCCGCGTCCGCGTGCTCGGGCCAGGCCGGGCGGATCGGGCCTGCGGGGCGCGGTGCCGGGCCGCCGCACGCTGTCGCCGTCCTCCCGCCGTGCACCCCTCCGCCCCCGCTGGATCCGCGCGCTCCCGCCCCGCGCGGGCACGCGCGAGTCCGCCCACCCGCGGGCGCGGGGACGCGGGCGGGGCTCGGAGAGAGGAGTGGGCGACGCGCCGTGCGGTTCCGGAAGCCAGCGTGGACCTGAGCCGCGGGCGCCTGGGGTGCGGACCGGCCGCCGTTGTGGACACAGCGGCCCCTGAGAGCGCCCTGCGGCCCCGCGGGCCTCGCTGGAGACTTGGACTGAGGACGACAAGGGCGCTCTCCGGGTAAAAAACTTGGCAGCTGACCCGCAGAACAGCCGTCTTGGGGTGAAAGAGTCCCCATCAAGCTTCACTACTACTTTGTTGTTTACTCCAAAAACGGGTCTGCTGGGCTCTTCTTGGGGTGTCCTTTATACTTGGGTGGAGAATGCGTTCATCTTCACCCCATTCTTTGCAGAAAAGCTTGGGAGGCTGGCTGGGCGCGCTGGGCTCCTCCTGCCGGTGGGTGAGCCCCAGGACCAGCTGCTCGGGGTGGGGGAGCACTGCTGTTCCCCCCGCAGGTGTCCCGAGGTCCCCACCCTTGGCTCGCCGTGGGTATATTTTAGAAAGAAGGAAAAAGTAAAACCTGCTCTCTGCTCCGCATCTGGTAGATGTGCCTCGAGTGGGTGCCCAATGGGGCAGAGAGAATCGCAGAGGAGCCTTCTGCACTGGGTGTCTTCTGGGTCCCGGGGGCCTCTGGAGGTCCTGACCTTGAGCCTGGGGTAAGATGAGGACAAGGAGCCAGCCTGCCCTGGGGAAGGTAATTCCAGAGTGATAAGGCATATCCATGCAGCTCAGGGCCGGCCACCTGCCCACAGGGAGAAAGAATACCATACAGGACTAGGAATAGGCTAGTACAGTTCGTGGCTCAGGAAGAACCAGGATGTGGTGGACCCAATGTCCTAGGGGTGCAGCCAAGCTCAGTGACCTGCCTGGGGTGTGGTGGTTTACAGCCCAGATGCAGATTCTCGACTGGGGTCCCAGTCAGGGCCACGGAGAGGCAGTGCTGGCCCCGGACCAGGGCTGCAGACCTGGCCCTCAGCCTCCGCACGCCTGTCTGGGCCGGGATTCTCCACTACCTGTTTCCATCCTCCTGTGTTAAAGGGTGCAGGTGTCCCCCCGGGCCCAGTGGGAGGGCACTGCCATGTGCCCAGCAGCACCTGGTTGTCCTCCCAGGCCGGGCAGGAGCCTCGCTGGTCACCTCTAGCACTGTTGTTGCCCCTGGGGTGTGCAGGAGACAAAGGTCACCCGAGCCACCTGTCCTCAGCTTCGTTCCCTGAGAGGGGCCTACTGGGTCCCAGTTGGGTGCAGGTGTGGATGCCCAGCCCTGAGGAGCTTGCCTGGTGCCTCTAAGGGCACACTGACTCCACGCACTGCCCCTCCCCCCATTAAGTTCCAGTAACTGTCAGGAATGGGGCCAATTGCTGTAAGCACTTCCAGCTCCTTGGCACAGAAAAATAATTAGATGTGTGTTGGTTGGAAACAGGGCTCACTGGTTCCTTTAAAATTCTGTGGGATTGGGAAAAGCCCAAGTGCCCATCAACTGGAAGCTGGATAAAGAAGATGTGGTTTTTTATAAAATGGAGTACTACTCAGCCATAAAGAATGAGAAACTAGTCATTTATAGCCAAATGGATGCACATTGAGGCCACACTCTTATGTGAAATAAACAGGACACACATGTGTAAATACCAAATAGTTTCTCTAGTGTGAGAAACTGAAAGTGTAAATGAGGATGAAAATGAAAAAAAATTCTGTGTGAGCCATCTCCTTCCGACAGCCAGGCCCCTCTCCTGCAGCTCCCAGGAGCTCCGCTGGTGCACTATGGGAAGCGTTTCCCTGCGTGGTGTGAGGCCCTGTCCCTGAGTCCCCGTTCCCACACACTGGAGGCCAGTGACGCAGGACCTCGTGCCCAGGCAGCAGTGCCCAAGGCTGCTGAGGACAGGTGACACACGTGTGTCACATGCACCAGCCACGTCACCCCGGAAGTGTGGACACAGGCAGCGCCTGGCTGCAGATGCACCTACCTGCTGTGCTGGTCTGAAAACATGAAAGGAGGCGCCTCCCTCAGCTTTGTGCTGCCCCTGGCCCACGGTGCCCTGGGTGAGCTGCCCATGGCTGTGGAGATGCACGGCGGTGCCTTTTCAGACCCTGTCTGCCTGGTATTCCGCCATCCTGGAGGCATTCGGCTCTACGGTTCGTCAGCAGTTGCAAGACCCTGAGAGACAGTAAGTCCTTGTCACCTAAATCTGATAGTCACTAACTTGGTAAGCCATTAATTTACTATTGTTCATCCTAATAAATCTTTTGTTCCAGAAAATACGTTTAAAAGAGTAATTTCAGCACTGGGGATTGAGTCCAGGGCCTCCACACTGAGCTCCATTCCCAGCTCATTTTGCTTTTATCTCGAGGCAGGTTCTCACTGAGTCGCTAAATCGTCCAGGCCAGGCTCAGACTTCCAGTCTTCCTGCCTCCAACGCCCAGAGAACGGGATTATGGGTGAGTCCCACCACAGCTGGCCAAAAAGGACTCGAAATTTGAGTAGTCACTGAAAATATTTTCAAGGACTATGTTACCAGCGCTGGTTTCACTTAGTGCTTCTCTGCTCCGAAGACCCAGGCCCGGGCCTGTCTCCATCAGCAGGGAGGTGGCTACTGTTCTGGGACCAGCCTGAGTGGAGAGCAGGATCGTCCAGTCGCAGCAAAGCGCTGCCCACCCTCGTGAATGTCAGGCCGGGCTACAGATCCCCGGAAGACAGCTCCTGACCCGAGAGCACAGGGCTCAGGGCACCGACAAGGACTGAAGTGGCTTGGGTGTGCTTCCCCCAATCTGGGACAGGTTTTGTGCCTTGAATTAAAAACTGACCTTGGAGCTTAACAGTCCAGGGCGGGGTGGGTTGCCTCAATGCTGTTCAAGTCGCCTGATGTGGCAGGAGCCCGGAGCGGGATTGGGGCCAGGGTGGCCCAGGTGGACAAGCCAGGCAGCGTGAGGACCCCACCCACAGGCGCCCACCACCACGCCAGCCCCTTGGCAGCCAAGACACTTCTTGATGTCACCCCAGTCTGTTCTCAATCACGTTGCTGCTACCCCAAAGGAACACTAGCAATGGCTCTGATGCCATGGACGGTTTAACCAGACACAACCCCAAGTGAAAACAAACCACTGATCGCATTGCCCATAATGAAATGGCAAAAGGCCCCGACTTTCCAGGCATTTTTCACGAGTGTCTGCAGACACAGCAAATCCTCACAAGTCAACCCATTAGGCTAGGTGGAACAGCGACTCCCCAAAGGTGTAAATTGGACAGGATCCCTTGACTGGCAGCACATTCTTGCGAACTTCACCAGCTTGAAGGCTGGCACGGGTTGAATTGTACCCTCCAGAAAGGTGAGTTCTCAGAATGGGACCCTGTTTGGAAAAGGCCTTTACAGAGGCCATCGGATCATGATGAGTTCCCAGGGCCTTGTCCAGCACAGCCGGAGTCCACGCAGGAAGGGAGCCTGGCATGCAGGCAGACACACGCAGGACTGGGGCAAGGCCACACGGGTGAGGTGCACGCATAGAGGCACCAAGGACACGGGCCACGTGGACACTGGAGACCAGAAGCTGCCCACAGCTGTCAGAGGCGCCTGCACCGTGGCGTGTGAGGGGCAGTGCCTTGGAGGGAGCACAGCCCTGCTGCCTGGTCAAGGACCGAGCACGGCAGCCCTAGGACACCCGGACAGGGTTTGTGTCCATCCTGCAGGGCAGCGGCCAGGGTGCTGCATCAGCTTACTAGTTTTTGCTTTCAGGCCATTACAGACTGATTCTTTTTGAATTTGCAGAAAGAAGACTTTGAAGAAGATTCAAGCCACAGAGCTACGACCCCAGTGCTGGGTTCCCTGGTGTGCGCTCGCTGTGAGGCGGGCACAGGTCCTTGGACCCTGCTCCGCATCGGGGCTGGCCCTGCCTGACTGCTGTTGGGCGAGGCCCTTGCCACGCTGTGGGTGCAGAGCAGGGAGGACCCCACCGTGCTGCCTCTCCTTCCCAGGCCCCAGCTTGCAGGGTGGGTGGGCTGGACACGGCCCTGTCCTGTCCTGTCCTGTCCTCCCCAGCAAGGTCTTGCTGGAGGAGAACACAGTGCACCATGACAAGCTGGCTGGGAGGGCGTGGATGACCTCCACACATTTCCGAGTAAGCAGAAATCTAACCACCCAGCAAGCAAGCAAACCCTGTCTTCTGAACAGACGGGCAGGCTCATTCCAGCTGCCGCAGGGAATTAGGGTTCGAGATCTGCAGGCACCAAGAAAGCACCTGTGGAAAACACCAGGTCATCCTGGGCTGGCCGCAGCAAAACCCCTGCCCCTCGGGTGTTCATGCTCTGGCCTTTGTGCTCTCCACCGTGCAGGGCCCTGGCTACCCTTGGTGCTCTTGGACTCTGGCTTCTGATCCCGGGGCCTGGGGAGGGGTCAGCGCAGGTGCACTGCCCCCTTGGCTGCTCCCCCCCCAGCATCACAGGAGGGCACTGGGCAGCAGCCCCGTCCTGAGGTCCTTGCCTTCAGGGGAGGTGCTGGTCAGGGGAATGGCAGAGCCCCCCTCTCCTCCCACTCCTGCCTGGCTGAGCCTCTGGAAGGCCGTCTTAGCCACTGCCTCATCGCTGGTTCACGGCCCAACACCCAGGTCTCAGGGGCAGGGGTTGTCCTGGCTGTCTCGTTCGCAGGCTCAGACAAGGAGAGAGCATGGTATGGTAGAAGGACCTGGTGGAGAAGGGCTGCTCAGGTCACAGGCTCAGGAGCAGAGAGAGCGGAAGCTGCCCTTCCAGGGCATGACCCACCTCCAACCCAGCCCCTCACAGCAAGTGCTCTCACCTTCCCGAAGGCCCCCAGGAGCGCACGCGGCCTTAGGGACATTCTTGATCAGCCCCATGGCCAAGGCTTCGCCTGTGTCCTGTGTCGCCCAGGCAGAGCCAGCGGCCTGTGCCTGCTCTTCCCTGCAGGGTTCACCTCAGCCCTGTGCCCCGCTGGCTCCCAGAACTCTGGCTCCAGCCCCCAGGTGCAGAGAGGCCAGCTGCAGGCCCGGCAGCCCCACCTCCAGGGGCTCCTCCTCCCTTCCGGCTCCGCTTCCCCTGCCTCCCTGAAGCCTCTGCTGACTTCGCCCCAGTCAGAGCTCCTGGGTGGTGCAAACACCATCCCTGTGGCCAAGGACAGATCGGCCAGGCGTGGGCCTTCCCTGGGGAGATGAGGCACAAGCCAGGGCGAGCTCTCGCACAGCTGCCTGGACCCGCTGTCGCGGCTGAGCTTTGCTGCGCTGGTGTGAAGGCCCCAGAGAACTCATGTCCACGCCGCATCCCCGCGGTGAGGGTCTAGAGGGTGAGGACTTGATGCCGGCACGGTGTCCAGTGGAGGGAGCTCCAGGCAGTACCGAAGCCCATGGCGCCCTGCTGCTGGACTGTGGCTGGGTGGAGCTCGATCAGCCTCCCACTCTGTGTCCTGGGAGGCCGTCAGGTGGCCAGGGAGGGATGGAGCGAGCGCCAGAAGCCCCCACCCCAGGCTCCCCCATGTGGCTCCCGTCTGCTTCCCCGAAGTCATCACCACCCTGCTCCTGACTCGAGCCCCACAGGCCGCCCTTCTGGTCCCCACGAGTGGCAGTGGCTGTCTGGCTCTGCAGGCCCCACCTGGTGCCCGAGCTGGAGCTTGCCGAGCCCCACAGTTTGTATTCCAGCCTGCCAGCCGGGCTGGCTGGCTGGGGCTGCAGAACGCCGAGTTCAGAGCTGCAGGGCGTGTGAAGCCACTGCTTTCTGCTTGGTTTCTACCTCAGCGCTTTTGTTTGCTTGCTTTGTGCCCTGGCGAGACGCCAAGCAGAACAGTTGGGCCATTGTGGCCGAGCCTGGAGCTTTTGTCTCCCCTGGACTCCGGGATCCCAGCCGCTTGTCCTGACAAGGTGGTGCTGGGGAGAGGCCGGCCCAGCTCCCTTGGCTGGCAATCTCCAGAGAGTTTGGGGCCCTGGCACCTGGCCAGGCAGTGGCCACATCTCTGGGTCAGCCCAAGGACGTGTTGGCGTCCTTCAGTCAGCCACTCCAGTGCCAGGGGCTTCCGAGCCTCATCTGCAGGTGACCAAGTGCACGGGCTTCCTCGCCCCTGGCCTGGCTGCCTGCAAGCCAGGAGCCCAGGAGCACAGATGCCCTGGGCCGGGACGGGAGTGGCAGTGAGGACGCCACGTGCAGGCACAAACCTGTGCGCCCACCCTGACAGATGCCCCTGGGTGCCGAGCTCCCTTGCCCGCCCGTTCGGCAAGGGTTAATCTTTTCCAGAGCCACTGGGAGCCAACGAGCCTGAGGCCAGGATGGCTGACAGCTGCCTCCTCTGAGTCCTTCCACTTGGATAAACACTGTCCAACAGCCGCTTGAGGGAGAGCAGCCAATAGAGAAGGAGCGTATGTGCACGCTCGCACCTGAGTACTTGTGCATCATGTGCGTGTGCTGGGGGCAGAAGTGGCTTCCTCACAGCTGTCCTGAGAGCTGCGTCACCACACACTGTGTGTGCAGGGCAAAGTGCACGGAAGCCTGCAGAGCCCTGAGCACCTACCTGTGCTCCGTGCTCTCCGGGACCCCTCAGCTCAGGGACAGTGCGAGGGCTCCTGTCTCCCCGATCCTCACCGCAGCAGTGGGGACCTGTGACACAGCTATGGCTTACCTCCCGAGGTGTGCCACAGTCTTCCTGGGCAGGGAGGCGGGAGCCCTTGGGCGCAGGCGCACCCCTGGCGGCAGGGTCCGTCCAGAGGGCTGCAGCTGGGCCGGGGGGCACCTGCGGCTCCTCCGTCGGGTACCACCCCGACTGGGTCACCTGGGAGTGATCTGAGAGCACGACCGAGGCCAGAGCGAGGACACACAGGCTGACACGCTGCCGAGCGCAGCTCTGACCGGGATTACCACCCCATCACGCAGTGCCGGCCTCCACCCCGGGCAGCCTGTGTTTGCAGCCAGGATGCCGGAGGGACACGGGCGGGCACGGGCTCTGGCCTCAGCGGGCCACACTCGCCAGCCAGCTCAGCGACAGCTCGAGCTGCAGCCAGAAGGGAGGGCTGCTTCTCCCCCACCACACCCGTCCCGGCTGCACTCGCCCTCCGGATTTTATTCACAGGAAAACGTGACTTGTAACACTATATTTTAAAATAAAAATGACTTTATTTATGCAGTAAGAGAGCAGCTAACAGTTTAACAGAGTTCAGGGGTATATATGCAACTCAGCAAAGATTTGGCTGTCATAAAATTAGAATTTTTAGTCATCTGTAAAGTGCTGAGAAATGTTCCCCGCGATGCTTGCAGTAGGCTTCTGTCCGCCTTGCCCACCAGTCTCGAACACATGCCGAACAAACTCCAGAGGCATTTCACCAAGCCTGCTGGCCACTCAGCACCTCACACACACCAGCTGCACAGCCACGGCATGCCGGCATGCCTGTTCCACGCAGCGCGGGAGGCCTGTTCCAGGCCGGTCCCCACGGAGGAGCCCCGTGGGTTGGTCAGAGTGGACCCCACTCCAGGCCCACAAAGTGGGAGTGGCGCCGACCTACCTGCCTGATGAGACGCCCCCCGCATAGGGGACAGGAAGCGCCCTGCGGCCCAGCCACCCATGGGTCAGTGGTGATGGGTACTGAGCCGTTTGGTTCAAAGCACAGATTCCGTGTGAACTGCCATGGACACTACACTGACTAAAATGCGGCTGTTAGTTTTTAATAGAGAAGCGTGCTGTTAGGATGCACAGTAGGCGTGGAGGTGCTGCTGCTCCCGGGACAGGTGCCAGTGACCTGGCTCGAGACACCATCCCCAGCGACCCTGGCGTTTCTGATACAGTGGTGAACCGGAGGGCTGCTACCAACACCACATCCTCCGGTCTCCGGGTGAATGGACAGCAGTACAGGCGGAGACACAGCCAGCGGACACTTCAGCAAGAGCACGTCACTCTCATGGACTCATCACCGACCAGACACTGCAAGGTCCGCCCGCCTCGGCGCCTGGCCGGGTGCTGTGTGGACAGGGTGGTCAGCAGGTAGGCCACCCGGTGGCGCATTGCCCACTCCCTCCCCACGTGGGGTGGGCACGGCGTTCCCTATGCACTCAGCAGCGGGATCTGCCAGACCATCACGGAAGACAGCAGCTCCTCGGGGGGCGGTGCCCGTGCCTTCCTGTGCATGCGCCGGTGGCCCTGGCCTCCACATACCACCAGCGCTGAGCTGGCCTTGGCCCTGCGTGACGGCCGTGCCCTGCCCCGGACGGGGCCGGCAGGGTCCCTCAGGAAGTCACACATGCTGCTGTCCTCAGCTCTGAGCTCCAGCGAGTTGGAGCCGTGGGACAGGCTCAGCGACCCTGACGAGGACGACAGGTCACTCTTCTGCAGCCCCGGCCCCGGCCAGTCCCCCAACCAAATGGCCGTGGTGAGGTCCCCCTGGCCAGGGCATGAGGTGGCCCTGTCCCCGGAGGGCTCATCCTTCTGCTCTTCGTCTGGGGGCTCAGGGCCGGGAGGCGGACTGTCCCTGGCCTTGTCCTTGTCCTTAGGCGAGGCGGTGGCCAGAACAATGAACTTGACGGGGCCACTGTGTGCGTGGTAGGAGACCATGCCTCTTCCTGCAGAGGGGCAAGGGCAGCAGGGGAGGTTATGGGAGGGGCGGGAGCGAGGTGTCACAACCCCCCCCCCCCCCGTGCAGGTAGAAGCCCCCAGGGCCTGGACCGCGGTGCTGGTGGCCACATTCTCTCACTGCACACCCGTGGATCTGAGAGCCTGAAGGGCGCTAATCCGAAAGACCAAGTGGGGCTCCCTCGGTGGAGCTCAGATCCAACACCTGCATCATACTTTGGTAGAGGAAGCTGGACGCAGCGGCCTGCTCTGTAACCCCACACCCTGGGGACTGAGGCAAGAGGACAGTGCATTCGAGCCCAGCCTGGGCATCATACTGAGACCCCGTTTCAAAAGGGTCAAGAAAGGCTGGGCTGTCGCTTGGTGCAAAATACTGCCAACAAAAGCTGAAAATCATTTCCCAGTTTTCTACGTTAAACACCTTTTCATTTGCTCTATGGAAATGTATATAATTTTCCTAAGTCTGAGTTAAAAAAGTGAAACTGAAATGTGTCAGTTTTAGGAACAAAATGACAACACTATCAGCAGCTTCTGTCATTTTTCATTGCAAAGTTTCTGGGGTGTAGAAGAAAATCACTGCAATAGTTTTGGTTAAAATCGGGACTCTTCAGTTCCTGGCGACGTGACCCAGGCGTGAACGCTGCAGCAGCGCAGGAGCAGGATGGCTGTCTCCCTTGGGCCTCAGTCCCGAGCTCTCAGCCCACACCAGACGCGGACGCGGGTGTCAGGCTCAGGCCCTCCCGCCCCAAGGGCTGCAGGCTGAAGAGGCCCCGCCAGCCGCCGCCTTGCCTCAGAACTGCCCCAAGGCCTAGGCCTCCCGGGCTGCCGGTGAGGGAGGGGAGCCCCTGGAGGAGTGGTGCCCAGGGAGGCCACAGCTGGCAGAGCTGAGGACAGCCAGGGCGGCAGCTGTGGACCACGGCCCCTTCTCTCTCTGATGAAAGACCCGTTTTCCCCGAGCGAGATGTGCTGAAAGGGAACCACTGAGGGCAATGAGGTGGCAAGGACATGTTTCCAGGACCGAAGTAGAAAAGCAAAGGCTGAGGGACACTCACATCTAGCGGCACCATCCACGAGGTATCCCTCGTACGCTAAACCCCACAGGGCTTTCTATGCCACATGTCCCAGGGACGGGGGGGGGGCCACTCACCAGTCACCTTAGGGATTCCCTGCAGACGAGGGACTGGCAGGGCCACGACAAGGCCCAGGCTTGTGCCCACCATCAGCAAGCCGTGGCACACGAGCAGGCTGGTCACAGAGAGTCGCTGGTGGCCTGCAGGGAGAGGGTGGCAGCCTCATGACCCGTACGGGCCCATGGCAGTGCCTCCTTGTGCTGTCTGCAGATGCCACCTGTAGGCCCAGGCACATCCTGGGGCACTCAGCCCATGCTCTTCCGCTAGGTGAGGGAGGCTGGAGGGTACACGGAGCAGCAGCAATGCGTC